CTCGAGATATAATGCGGTTAACGACCGTTGAAAAATTTCTCTGCAATTATCGCAGAATCCCCGAAGATGTGTCGCACCGCGAGAGTTCGTGGGAGTCGTGCACCGATCGCCGAAATTCGGGACAATTGGCTGTAAAACTCCCGCCACGAATGGCAATTTATTTTTGCGGTTCGCACGCGCGCGTCGGTACCGAATTCCTGCCGCTTCGAAAACTTTCTATGATCGTTGCGTCACGACCATGACGACGCGCCGATACGAATTCAAGCGCCATGTGGCGAGTTTTCGGATATTTTCCCCTGAGATTAGCGATCTTAAGTCGAAATTTGGATGTTACTTTAACGCTCTACGGAATAATTTGCGTCTACTTGAATGATATTTAAAAAATACATAATATTATAGTAAAAATACATAATATTATAGTAATATTATAGTATTTAATAATATTATTTTTTTAATATTATTGGGAGTGGACATATAACCATCTATTAATATTCCAGAGATATTACTTAATATTAAATAATATTACTAGAATATTATTAGAATATTGTGTCTAATGTTCTAAGAATATGCCCAGAATATTATTTAATGTTAAATAATATTACGCGCTTATAGGGAAATAACAAATAGTGATTAGTACTCTTAACAAATCATTTTGCCGTCCATATGGTAATTGATACCCATCAGGTTCAATTTCTTATAGAGTTAACGCACTTCAAAGACGTTTATGCAGCGATTATTAAGCACCTGTAATCCAACGGAATATGATCCTAATTTTAATCGATACCTTCGCAAGTCGCGACTCGTTGATCCGCTATTGCGGCACCATGTTATCGCGAGGTTTACGATTTCGGACTTGTGACCTATAGGGTCACCTATTTGCTCTCTCGGTTGGCCCTTTATAAAGCCCGTATCAGACTACGCATTGGAGGTTGAGATTACATTGAAATTGCATACCGGAGATTGAATTTTGACCGATCAAAATGAAACAAGTAAATATTGAGATTAGAGGTTGAAATCAGAGATCAGTCTATTTCTTCAATTTCCAATCGCAATATCACTCAATAGCTTGGCGATTTTTCAATTACTCGACATATAAAGGTCACAGACACGTGACCTTTGTGTAACTGACGGAAAATTTTATCACATCGAGATTAATTTTAAAACGCGACATTTTTTCCATGGGGGACAAATAAACCGAATGGAAGAAAAAATAAATCAATTTATGTTTCGTTATAGTGCTATATAAATATTCGGAAAATAAATGGACTATTTAATTTTACATTTTTGCAATGCAGATCTCAATGGTACGCTGAAAAATGTGTGTACCGTTCAAGTAATATTTACTGATCTAAATAAGATGGTTATTTCGATATTCTCTGACAAATATTTACTAGGAGTAGAAATATAATTGAGTTACTACGTACGATATGATATTTTCTTCGTATGAGTAGACATTTACTTGCATCCCAAATAGGAATTTGCTACTAGCAAGATACTGGCCAGGTCGGTTTACGGTACGATTCCAGTACCGGTTCGGTATTGGGACGATAGAAATGGACCAATATTAAACCAGTACCGAAAATCAGTACTTAATATCAGTACCGAAAATCAGTACTGTCACGAAAGAAAGATACCAAAAATTGTCGGTTGCCAGTACTAACTTCCAGTAATGATTATTATTACTGAACAATTGTTAATATCACAACCATATTGAAGGACGAGAAGTTGAATAATAGTTAGAACTCTAGTAGTGTTTGTTTGTACTTACAGATGTCCACTTTTAATCTTATACAAGGAAAAATGTAGCGACATAAGAACACGCATGGCTGGGATCGAAACTCGAGTCGTTTTCAACTTGCTGGGCAACCGCTCTTACCATTGAGCTATTTAGGCTTCGCGTTAACGGCATCTCCTGTTTTCCTTATTTAAGTCATCGATTCTCGGTTAGTACCAAATATAACATTCGCTTCTCGGTACCGGCACAGTACGGGCATAGTACGATTATCCAGTAACGATTCTGGGCACGGAACCACTACAAAAAATACTGCTTTCTTAATACTGGACCAATATTGGGCCCAACAACATGAAATCTGCCTTTCGATACCGGCCCAGTACGGACATGGTACAATTATTCAGTATCGATTCCGAATACGAGGCCACTACTGATAATACTGTTTCCTTAATACTAGGCCAGTACTGGTCCAGTACCAAAATATTATATCCGCTTTTTGGCTCATTGGCCCAGTAGGGCATTATACAATTAGCCAGTATCGATTCTGAGTACGAAACTAGTACCAAAAATACTGTTTTCTTAATACTGGACCGGTACTGGACCAGTATCCTGTACTGGCTGACTGTACGAGGTCTGTTCAAAAAGTATCGCGAATTTTGTGTTTTTTCAAAAATTATTTATTTATTCATGAATATCTATTTTGTCTCCTTCAAAGTAATCCCCATCAGATATTATACACTTGTGCCAACGTTTTTTCCAATCCTCGAAGCACTTCAAAAAATCATTTTTTGTGATCTTGTTCAGCTCCTCCTTCGATGCCGTCTTTATCTCCTCAATCGTAGCGTAGCGTCGTCCTTTCATGTGCCTCTTCAGTTTCGGGAACAAGAAAAAGTCACAGGGGGCCAGGTCTGGGGAATACGGTGGCTGCGGCATCATTAGTGTGTTGTTTTTGGCCAAAAATTCGCGCACAAGCAACGATGTGTGAGCAGGGGCGTTGGTACGAATTTCGCGGCGACCCGTCTCATGCCCAAATCATTAGTAAAAATCGAATGGCACGAGCCAATCGATATGTTTAGGTCCTCAGCAACTTCTCTAACGGTGATTCGACGATTGGCCAATACTATTTTCTTCACTTCATCAATGTTTTCGTCTGTTGTTGACGTGCTCGGGCGTCCGGCACGCTCTTCGTCGTTCACATCTTCTCGGCCCTCTGAGAACATTTTGTACCACCGATAAACGTTGCTTCGGTCCAAGGTAGCTTCACCATATGCCACAGTCAACATTCGGAATGCGTCCGCGCACTTAATTTTGTTAGATTCTTTGATCCATTTTTTGGAATAGGCAAAAATCGAAGACGAGCCAAAACACGTCCAAGCAAAACAGCTGTCAAAGATAAACTGAATATTCAAAATGGCCGAACTTGTCGGCATAAGTAAGGGACATGAGTACCAACATAACGCCACAAAAAATCGAAAATCGAATATACGTAACCCGCGGAAATTCAAAATTCGCGATACTTTTTGAACAGACCTCGTATGTATGATTCCTACATAGGGCGTGTTAAAACATGCGACAAGTATTAAATTCTTAATATTGCGAATACCAAAATTCTTCTTCTTCCTCTTTATAATAGGGGACCTTGTAGGTCTGTTTTTCCTCTCACGCATATGCCTGCGTTGCGCACGCTGATTATACACAAAACATATGGGACCTATAGTTTTAACGCCGATTCTGAACAGCATATTTTGCGAGAGGTGCTTTGGGCAAATATACTCTGGTGGTTTGCCAGACCGTCCAGAGGAGATACGAGCATATAAAAAATTTTTTTGGTTTTGCCGGGGGAGGATTGAGCTCGGGATTTCTAAGCGTCCCAGACCAATGCGCTGTCTGCTACACCACACTCGTACTTGAATACCAATGTGCATGAATACTAAAATTGTAGTTTAAAAAATATTCAATGGATAGAAAAATCTAAATCTAAAAGAAACACTGGGTTTCTTCAATAGAAAAGAAATATTACACAATCAATAGTAAATATTCTCTTAAATTTATAACGATTTTATACTTACATTCAGTAATTTATCTACGAAATAAGATATTGGTGCGTTCAAGCAAGTATTTACTACAAAACATCAAGATATACTTAAATTGAAAAAAATATTATTTGATTTATAAAAAACCGAGAAACAGATAATTACGTTCGTTTGATTTTTAGCATTTCTTTTCTTCTGTGACTGAACAACCTTCAATCTTCTTTAATCGATAATCTATCTCCGATGCGTAGTCTGATTCTTCGGTTCGGTCGGCCGATCTGTTTAACCCTTTGGGTACATTTGACGAGTGAGACTCGTCATCTGCTTACTTGGACATAAAATGTATTACTTTTACAATTAATCCATATAGCGACAAATTAAATCCGTCCCATGGGCATAAAAATCTTCAAATAATTCAGCACTCAAAGGGTTAATCCCTATAAGCGCGTAATATTCCTAGAATATTATATGAATATTATTAAATATTAAAATATTTTTATAATATTCTAAAAATATGATGTAATATTTTTCATTGTAAGTATGTTCCATTGATGTAATATGTCCATTTTATATAATATTTTTGGCATATTATAAAAATATTCTAACAATATTTTAATATTTTAATAATAACAATAATCTAGAAAAATATATTTAATAAAAAATATATGCATATTATATATTCACACACACACACACACACACACACACACACACACACACACATTATATATGTAACAGAATTGAATATTTAAAAAATATATAATATTATTTTATAAATATTATTAAAGATATATATATAACTATCTATTAATATTCCAAAAATATTACTTAATTTTAAATAATATTACTAGAATATTACTAGAATATTACGTTTAATATTCTAAGAATATATGCCTGGAATATTACTTAATATTAAATAATGTTTCCCTTATAGGGACCGCGAGAGAATACAACCGCACTCATGTGACGGAGTCGCGAAGTAGATCTGCGCGCATAAAGAAATCCCCCAAACCCACATCGGTGACGACGAAGTCACACGCGGCCGCGACTCCTCCTCCCGGCCGGCCAATCTGCTATCCGGTCCTTATCGTTCAGACCGACGGAGGGAACTCTCTCTCCGTCTCTCCCTCTTTCTCTCATTTCCTCTCTCCCCCCTCCCCCCTCTCGTTCGGACACACCCGGTATGCATAACGTATATAAAACGTATAACCGTCACCGCACCGCGCCGCCTTGAAGCAGACCAGAGACGCAAGACGACGACTACGACAACACGACGACGACGACGGTGACGGCACTCGACGGGCCGTTCGAAGCAGCACATTGTGCGCCGCGCGCTTTAGTGCACGCGCACGCACGCACCTACGTACACGCGCGCGCGCGCTTGGTGTGTCTCCCGCCTCCTCGGTTCTCTTATTCCTCGCGGAGGCACGTTGCGGAATTTTTCGGCAGTCGGTGACAGTGACTTCGTAAGGTGACAGGTAAACCGCTTCTCCGCCTGGCCGGTCGCGCTTAGCTACGCTTCGCCGTGAGCATGCAACTCAGCCGCGGAATAACGAGTAGCCACAATAACGTACGCGCGTGGGTGCGTATAGTGCGTGAATGAAAAATAAAAAAAGGAAGAAGGAAGGAAAAAGCACCGCAAAGCACGACGACGATATAGAACAGTGACACGCATGAAGGAATGAAAGAGAGAGAGAGAGAGAGAGAGGAGACCCGTCTCTCCTTCTCCCTCTCATTTTCATTCCTTCCATTCGCGCGAAGAAACGAAAAACGAACTCAGTGAACGAGCGCGGTTCCCGCCGCGTGGTTCGGCGGCGCAGGCGCACGTGGTGGCCGCGCGCGCCGTCCCTGCTCGCTGCACGTGGGTCGGCGCGAAGTACGTGCGCGCACACGTGTGCCGCGAGGCGTCTCTTTTTCACCGACGACGTGCGTCGCGTCGAACCACGGTGAAACCTGCTCGCAAAAGATCGTCGGCGTAGCCGCCGCGTCCGTTATTCTCGTGTTCGTTCCTCGCCGATCGGTCGGTCGGTCGATCGACGAGTGAGAGAGCGACCTTTCGTGATTCCGCGGCGTGTTCGCACCTTCGCCGGCGGCGAGGCCGCGCGGTGTCAGCTGCTGAAAAAGTCGTCGTCGTCATCAGCATGCTCTGACCAGTGACGTCAAATCGCGCCTTGCGTACCACGCTTGCGAGCAACTCTCTCGGTATTCGCGCGTGAATTCCTTCGACTCGCTCGCTCACTCGCTCTCCCGTATTCGGAGCGCGCTTCTTGCAGCAGGAAGCCCCGAAAAGCGGTCACTCTCTAGCCGGGAACTATCACGGGAAAGTCCCTCGCATCTGTGTGCCTGTGGAACTAAAAGTACAATTGGACGATATAGTGTCGACATTATATCGCAGAATTGGGCGATACAATATCGACACATAGAGAAATAAGGTTTTCCTACATAGTTGCGGGGCAAAACCCCTATTTTTCCGGAAGAAATACTTATTTCCCTATATATCGATACTGTATCGCTCAACTCTACGATTCAGTATCGATACATAGGTAAATAAAGATTTCCCCCAGAAAAATAAGGCTCTCTTCCGCGATTTGCGGAGGAAATCCTTATTTTTCCGGAGGGAAAACCTTATTTCCTTATATATCGATATTGTATCGATGCTGTATCGCCTAACTAAAAGTAGAATACCTTTGACATCACTAGCAGCGACGGCGGCGGCGGGTCGGCGAGATCGACCGGCTGACGAGGCGAAGCGACGACGACGGCGTCGTCGTCGCGAAGATCATGTTCCATTGCCTTTAAATAGAAGCATCCTCCGAATCACCGTGTCTCTGTATGTCTTTTAACGGGCTGGTTCGAAGCTCTCCACGCGCGAAGCTCCGTGAATCTTTCGGCTCCTCGACGATCGTCGTGCCAGATAGAAGAGAGAATAATTGTAATTCGCGGGAACTCGCGTTTATTCATACATCCATCATCGAATTCGGGCGCATACCGTGTCTCTTAACGCAAATATTCGCATAACGCAGATTTCACATCATATGAAATCATGATATGATTTCATATCATAAATCCCTCTGATTAATCACGCTGAGACGCGGCCGTTCGCGTCTCTCTCAAGATAAACAGCGCCGGCGTCGGCTGCCGAATATTGGTTGTCGGCGCGCCGGAGATGCGCTGAAAAAAAGGCCTAGTAACAATTACCGAATATTTAGTGAAATAGTTTCAACTAATCATAGTCGGCTCTTATATTTAAGACTTAAATATTAATTCATCCTCAGATGCTGTACGGCTCATTTCATTGGCTACGAAGAATCTAAAGATGAACTTAAGTGTAAGATCTGACTATGAATATCGGCCTAAATGATTTGGTTACAGTCCAACCAAATTATTTAGTTGCACGGCACGGAATAAAATTGGCCGTCGAGAAATACGATCTTCTGTTTGTAAATAATTAATTTACATTAGGCGTTTAAAATATAAAAATGAGAAAATATTAAAATTGTTTTATTTAAAAAACATTTATTTTTTGCTTGTTTATAACATAGTCGTTGAAGAACATCGGACAACATTTTCATAAATAGACTTGTGTTTTTTACGATTAACTTAATATAAATCTGAACGTTGACGACTTTGCTCTACATGTGATTGCATAAAAAATACTATTTCACAAGTTAGCAGAATGTAACTTCATTTAAGATAGATTGATGATATCGATGAATTGATTATATCGATAGAACCATTATTTTATCAGTAGACCGTAAATTTGGAGAAGGTTTGTTAATGTACATTAAAAGTTAATGTACATTATTATGTACATTGAATTTTAAGGAGTTAATAATCGAAATATGCAAAACATTTACAGTTTCAGAATAACATTGAAACGAAATCTGTAGATTAGTGGTTATTAGCGGTTTAAAAGAGGAACTAACAAGTGTAGTATCATCAAAGTAAATTTTATTTTATTATCTATAGGCCATCCAAATGAACGCCAACTCAACATTTAGACCGTTCAATTTTGAACGTAAGACCGACGGAGTCCAAAATCAATGAGCTCAACCATATATACCGTCGGAATAGAGAACAAATTATATGTTCAAGTGATGAAAGTGATGAAACAAGTGACGAAAAGAAGATTACTTTTATTCTTGCATACATAGTCTATATTTTGTATGTTGTCAAATGTAAATGTTCTTAAGGAACTGATACAATAACCATAATTATGCATAGATTGTTTTCCAAAATATCACGAAAAATATATACACATATAAATATATATATATATATATATTTATATATAAATTTGATTATTTTATAATAAATATAGTGTTAATTTTGTTTTTATTTTTATGTTAATACATATTGCACAAATGATATTCTTTTTTTACTCAGTATATCATTCATAATATGAATAGTTTGCAAAATTATTCCTATATTTCAGTTATCAAGACCGTCACACATCCATATATGGATGATGTGGCGGTTTAAATGTCGAAAACGTCAAAATAGCACGAAAATTCCGACTCGGACACGATGGCTTCTCCGTTGCCGTGTCAGTGGCCCGCGGGTTTTCCATTTTCCATTTTGCAGCCGTGTGTCCCGGGAAAACCGGATGACTTGTCTCACCGGGGAATAAAGAGAACAAGGGCGCTAGGGAGCGACGAGCGCGAATGAGAGGATCACGCGGTTTATTGGCCTGTTTGTGGCTATTTCTGGAGCACTTTCGTCGGCGGCCTTTCGAACGAAGCGTTATCGTGCATATATATGTTTGTAAATAAATGCAGAACGCGCGTCAAGATAACTTCTCCCTCGAACTTTGACATAGCACATGGTCCGGCTTGCTTCACCGTCATTCGACGGTGAGACGTGTGTTGTTCGCAGTTCCGAGCAGAGGCATACCATTTATCTTTTCGCGCTATGAAAAACACGTCGTCCCGTGCAAATCGAAATTTTGATACCACTTTAATCCTTTAAAGCACACATTTTTCCTCCCGCTTATTTTTCATGGAATTTGATACTCAGGAATTTTTGGAGTCGATGTTCGCGAATTTGAGGTCAAAATTGGAAAATTTTTTAAATCTAAGATGGCGGATCTAATACAGACGACCGAATAGTTAGGTACAACAATTGTCATATATCTGTAGATTAGGTAACTCTGAACAAAAAAGATCCGTACCATTTTGCAAATAACACGCTAATTGTTGAGTTATTAATTAAAGAAGCCTCTATAAATGACCATTCGCAATCACTGATAACTCGAAATTTTGCATGTTATTTGCAAAATGGGACTTTTCTGTTCAGTTTCACCCGTTTTACTTGCATACCACCGGAACCGAGATTAGGACACCATGTATGTGATTATTTATAGTCATATATGAGCAAATTTCATGTATGATCTTTTTCCTTAGGTTAAGACACCATTATAGTCTAAGTAGGAATAAAAATTATATCATTAGAATGGAACTTATTTTGCCGTCTTTGATTCAACTATATTGTAGAATTTATAGACTTAGGGTCGACATTTCGATTCGGGTCGAGGAGGAGATTCGTTACGAGCGGAAAAATTGGCTTCGCGCTGTTATATCGCGAGGAACGATATGACGTTCATTTCGACACTCGTTCGGCCGAAAAAACGACGAGTAGTGATCGCGGATAAAAAATAAAAGGCATTCTTTGCTCTTTCCCGCGGCTCTCGCGGTTTTCTGAACGCGTGCATAAAATAGAAAGTCCGCGAGCGACGCGGAGTGCTACTTGTCGTTGTATAATAGTCCCGGTGATTTTCCGCGTTGCGTTAATTATGTTAATCAATTTACGGCATGCGTCGAGCGATCGTCCCGGCGTTATCGAGCGGGGAATATGTATTTTTCGTTCTATCGCGACCTCTTCGTTCCGGCACGACCCGCCTCTTTCGTTCTATCTTTGTCCCGCTCTTTTTTTTTCTCTCACGTCTCATTCATAATACTGGGTTAGTCAATAAGATTCCAACTAAATCATTCGAATTCGAAGTATCTAGTGCTTGCCGGTATCTAGATAAAATTACCTAAATAATCATCCAGATGAATAAATAGATCTTTATTTAGATAGAAGAAATACAAAATATATTCATCTTCATTTTAAATAAAAAAATAACGTTATTTCATCTAAAAATTATCTAAAATGATATTATCGTTCATATTCTGAACTCACTTTTTGATAAAATGAATAGAATAATATGGACCTATATTAAGCCCGTATCAGACTAGGGATTGGAGATTAGATTTCAACGAATTAACAAATTTCGGTTTTGTCTCCTTTGATCTGTTCTTTTTAGCTGTACTGCTGAACTAGTGCAATTAAAAAGAACAAACCATTTATTTCAATTGATCGATCTACTTAAACCTGACGACTGTGAGTGAGCAATGAATGATTATTGGTCTTTTTTGTTAGATCTCTAGAGCTTTTGTTAGAAATTTAGAGCGATTATGTTGACGAATTACTTAACCGT